TCCAAGTTTGAGGATCGTCTCAGAGAGAAGAGCACATATCGCTATTTATAACTTTTCTATCCCTGTGGCATGATAGTCTAACAAAGACAAATTTTCACATAACTTTACAATATCTCTTTCTCAACAAATTTGTTTCTAAATTAAAATTATTTGAAATGTAAAAGTTCTGCAGCGTTCCCCTACGTCGCCATTTTCCCTAGGGAACTCCTCAGCAGTGTACGTGAACGGTATTCAATAAAGATTGTCACAGCAAAGGGGATGAAGTTGAATGTAGAGTATCTCCATCTCTAAAATAGCATTCACTCTCGCGCATCCAGAAATGGAATTGGAATCCTCTAAAATTGTTTCGAACACAGCTAACAAAGTACTGAACAAATATAGTGCGAATTGTCGGGAGATGTTTCATGAGCGTGACATATGGTATAATAAACTGAAGGAGCATTCGCGACGAGAGGCACAGCAGGCAGAATTTGAAGGTATTCTTTAGGGATCATTGTAATTGATAACATAAGGGTTCGGTAAGCGAACTGATCGGTATTTGAAATGTTATCCGAAGCCCCCGAAAAGTAATTGAAAAAAAGGGGAGAGAGCCAGGTTGATGGCGGAGCCAAAGGGAAACGCTATCCGCATCGGTATTCGACCGGGATAGTATTTGTCCAATTAAACGAGAAGTCGTAAGGAAATATAAGTTGAACATGAAAGGAGGTCAATCCGGGGATTCTATATCGAATACTCGGCAACGATTGATTACGAAACCAATCCGCGCATTCATTGACAAATAGCTCTTTCCTAATGGAAATTTTCAAATTTTCTTATTCACCAAACTACTAAATTCCCAAATTCTCGAATTTCTAAATTCCCAAGTCCTGAATTCGTAAAAATCCAAATTGCGAAACCTCCCAAACTTCCAAATTACGAAACCCTCAAACTCCCAAACTTCCAAATTGCAATCTCCTTAAACCTTCAAACTTCCAACTTTTCAAATTTTCAAGGCACTTCCTTTTTAATCGTGAAAATGTGTAAAACAGGAAATTGATCGCTAACGAAGAAAGAAGTTCGATATAAATTGTTTTTGATCATGAAAAGAAAAGTAGGTTATAAAGGGTTAATGATAATTGATGCAGTCACCTGAAACTCATCGAACTCGTTCGAAAACGATTAGCCAAAGAAGGAAATGTCAATTTCTGTGATAGCCATCGATAAATCAAGCGTGGACTGCAGAAAGCTATAGACAAATCGATAGGAAAAAAAGCAGGACGTAAAAATATTGAAACCCTATTCATGCGGTGACTCGAATAGGAAGATTTAAAGATATCCGTTCGATTAAGAGGGCTTTCGAACGAAATCGATTATAGGACCATGAGAGGAATTCGTATTCTTAACCGGTAATCTCTTCTTTGTTCGTTTTTTTTTTAACGATAGGAGATAATTGGTTTTTGTTTTCCTTTTTTCCAACGGGGGAAGATTTCTTTTTACGACGTAGCCCGATACGACGTGAGATATTTGCCAGTAACGGCGGCCAAGAAACGACCCGGTAAAGATCTTGTTACATCGATGCAAATGCAAAATCAAGCAGTCCGAAGTTTCTTGTAACACCGTGTCGGAAGTGATTTATCTCGAGTCCACAAAATAGTTTGTTCTGCACGTCTCGGGAATCATGAACTCGACGATGCTATACAGAATTTCTAGCATCGCTTGCTGACACGTTTAGCCCGACTCACAGTCAAGGATTTATTTATGCTTGCTGCTTGAATACTTACCGTGGAAGATGCATTTCTGAACGGAATACCAGAAAAGCAGCGATTCGATGTTTGTTTCCGAAGTAATTCAAACTCCCTGCAACGCGATTACTTCGCTGCTCGTTCGACTGAAAATATGATTGACATCGCGTGTCAGACGGCGTAAAAAGAAATCGTTGGAAATTTCAACATCCACTTTATTCCGTTCCAAATTTTTCGCGGGATTATTTTGGTAACGTGTAACAAACGTCCATACGATTCTATTATAGAATCGACGTTTCGAGCGAATAATTTTAAATTATTAATTCAGGAACGAAGTGCCATCGAATTTAATGGTACGTGGATCGCAAATTCACAGGTAATTACATTTAAAGCAGACACCGAATATAGGATACTAAAGTGCAAAGTAATACCCAATCAGATTTCATATAGTGGATGTCATACTTTCTATCTTGGATTGACAACCTTTTAAGAGATCTTTATTTGTCTCAAAAGTTTAAGTCTATCGATTTTTAAATTTACCATGTTCTCCATCCGATAATTCTCGAATCTGTAAATTTTCTCTTAATCCGAAAAGTTACGAATAAATAAAGTATGGAACGTATTTTATCGTAATCCGTCGATTTTCCATAAAACTGATAACAGCGAGCCAGCGAGCGTTCGATTCCAAGGACAAGAGGTGTACAGCGAATCGGTCACAGGCAGGAAGTAATTTTTAAGAGATTCAAGGGCTCGAGCTACTCCCGGGGGCTCGAGTATCAGTTTCACGGCGAACTCTTATGAGAAAATCGATGTCGACATCGAATGGTTGCCGAGCATCCGACGACGAGAGCAGCGTGGCGGCGATGCAGTCAGGTAAAGTGGTATGATATAAGAAGAATCAGGATAAGGTCCCGGTCGAGTGGTGTGGCCAGATCGACGTCTTTCGAGGGTTTAAAATCCATGAAATCTCTACCCGATAACGCTATAAATCTAAAGGAACAAAAACGATGCTATCTCCACGCTGTCTAACATTTTACCTTAAGCTACCTTCGAATCAAGCGACAAACATCTGCATAAACGTGTCGTCCTTTTCAATTTTCTTACCCCTTTTTTCACTTAACTTCATAATCGATACTATTCACAAAGTGACATTCTGAAATAACTTCTGAAGTCACCTTTGAAATTAAATCCGACAAAAAGGGATTTAATCAAATAAATAAAAGACAAAGTCCAGTAATAAGCTGTCGCGTAATATCTTTAATATTTCACGTCACGCTAAGTACAGGTTTAGCGTCAGTCAATTTGCAAATGAAATATGAAAGTTAAAGTTGATTTGACGAACGAAGAATTAATAACTGCGCGATTACCGTCGGATACCGTGTCGAGACTAGCCATTATATAATTAATCCGGAAGATCGTTCGCCGGTAAAATTACGATCACCACCGAATTCGCGATGATTAACGATCGGCGAATAACGAATGCGGGGTCGCGTGGCCGTGGCGTTTACAAGCGTTGCGTAAAACCGGTTTACCAAATATTTCCGGAAAATATTATTACGTTAAGCGCGGGTGATAAGCATCGCTTTGTTCCGCAAGTTCTTCGTTAACAGGTACGTTGCAATTATCGCGCGCGGCTGCAATATCCCCGTTTTCGAGAGAGGGTCGAAGCCACGTAACAGTAATATTATTGCAGTCTATGACGATCCAGGTTACAGCGTGCCAATATAGTGCACCGCGAAGCAGTTCATAGAGAAACTGGAGGCGGGTCGCTTGAAACTAGGATCGTAAAGGATAACACAAACCGCGGGAATCGTTTTCAATTTCTTGCTCGTCTATTTTTTTTTTCTTTTTTTTTTTTGGTTCCTTGTTCCGTTAACATGGACGAAAATTGGAACGGACCACCGGCGACGTGGGTACAAATACATCGCCATGTTTTCGAAATCAACAACCCGGCTTGTATTTTTACCTCGAAATCGTTTTTTGTCATACACGCACGCAACTAGACAGGTAAAACACCGGCGAACGATTTGAACGTTTCCCTCCGATCGAATTCACCTCTCCGAATGTAATTGTAGCCGGAGGTGATGAAGAGTTACCGTCAAAAACACGATTGATTTTGAATTAAAAGCGATATTGATTCCAGGCGGAATAGAACGAGGTAGAAACGAACTCGAAATTTTATTAAAATAGGATGTTCGTTATTGGGGACAGGATAACGCGTTCAAACGCTGTTCCTACGAAATTTCAGGGTGTTCTGGCTGTATCATTCGCGCGTTCGTTGCTCGCATTCGGATCACGTAGCCGCCGTATTTTATTATTATCACCGAGCCTCGTAAAACGGCCAGAACTGTCGTCCCACTTGGATACTTAAGGGTTCAACTTATAAGCAGAGTTGTCCGAGCATCGGTAATATCAAAGCTCCAGCTACTACGGCGGGACGTATCTTCTCGAATTGCCTCGGCAAACAGTGAATCTCAAATGCGGACAAGTGAAAATGAAACGAGGAAACGTTTGCGAGAGCTTGACGTTTGTAGCGCTTGTAATTAATTGTGAACTTTGAAACGCAACCGAGTGAAAATGAAACAAGGATAGACTCGCAAGGGGTGCAATTACTGTACAATTTCATTACATCGCCGTGGACGGGATCTTTTCTTAATTTGCCAATATACGAATACCGTGGCTAACGCTTGATTGTCACGATTACATTGCGGCGATATTCGACGAGGGAAGATATGTCGGACTATATTTGACGCGTGGATATGTCGCGTGCCGATATTCAATATTTGAATAGCGATATCCTCTTCCGATATTTAGTGCACCGAGATTTGTAAATGTATGTTTTTTACCGATATACAGCGTGTGAAGATATGTTCCGTACCAATATTTGACTCGTTCAGTACGTAGAGCGATAAAGGCATGTCCCGACTAATATTTGTCGCGTGACGATATGTGTCGTGCCGATATTTGTCGCACGGCGATATCTATCGTGGTCGATAATCGTTTAGGATATTTATCACGCGGAGATATCTGTCGCATAGCAATATTTGTAGCGCAACGATATTTGTAGGAACGAGTAACAACTAACGCCATATAACGCGTGGCAATATAGCGTCCCTTATAACGCAGTACTTTCCGTGTTTTCCGATGGTAACGGTCAATGCATACAAAAGTACATATGAAAGTATAAATGAAAGGGTGAATATATGAAAGTATCCGATAAAGGGTGGCAATATAGAGCCCTGCCTGTAAAGATACAAGCAAATAAAGGGTAGAAACGTGTTAGGTATAAGGTAGATACTTATTATTTACTATCAGGTATGCTGTACATAATGTTTCTTTTGCCTTACAAATATTATATAAAATTACAGTCGATCACGGAGAGTAACCTTGCACACCGTCTCGCGAACGCACTAATATCCACGCAGACAAGCGAAACAGACGCGCACCGCACGCACACCACACGCAAAATACGCCCGCTCGCTTACTCGCGCCGGCAAACGTTTCATTAGTTTCGCGGATGAAATCGGTGAACTTTCCTAGACGCAAGAAAAATACGTAATATATAAACGTCGTAGTTAACGATGCACGAAATGCGGGACACATTTTTCTCGATCTCCTCTCGACGTCGGTTCTTTCGTTTCGAATCGTTGATCTTTTGTAAGAGAAATTTTCGTCGTTCCATTCTGAACGCTTTTTGCCGGCGGAAATGAAATTAATCGGTAAATGATTAACACGTTCGCTACCAGCGTTTCCGATCTATCGCGCGATAGATCGTAAGTAACTCTCTTTCGTGTATGCCTTAAAGCTAAAGTCAAATAATCTTAAAAATAGTACAATATACAAACGACGTGATCCGAAATTATTTCGTAAGAAAGAAACTGGTCTGCGATGGACGAAATTGTAATTAACTGTTGGTAGCGAGAGTGTTAAGGTGATCGATGAAGCGGAAAGGTATGGCCTTGATTAACACGGTAATCGAGCTGAAAAACGTTGAATCTTTGTACGCGACGATAGCCCCTGTTGATTAAAACTCCAGTTAACTGCATAATTTGAAACTCCATGCGAAAAAAGCCACGTGTAACGCACGAGACGGGTTCCTCGTTTTGGATTAGCCGCCTGTCGCGTATCTTTATTTCATGACGGCGAATCTGAGCGAGGAACAAAAATCGCAGGCGTGTAGAGGACGAACGTTACCTATTCGGTAGACACGTTATTCATGAACCTTTCTACACATCCTGGCTGTAATTCCCCTTAAAAGCAGCCAGATAAAAGGGAAGAAAGGTTTTAGAGAGACAGAAGAAGGACCCCGGCCTTTTTGCTTCTTTCATCGAGGACCACGTCGCCACTGTCCGGACATTAGAGCGAAGAAAAAAAGAGAATCGTGTCTCGAGACACGCCTAGAACCGTCGTTCGCGTTTATTGTCAGCTCGAATGGTCGTTCAACGAGAGAAACGGGCTGAAACAGGAGGAACAGTGTGTCGTGCGTTACGTGTATCGCTCGATCGTTTGCTGACCCAGGTAAAGACTGTTACATTCGTTTCGTGCTTTGTTACGTTCCCGACGATTAACTCTTTCGACCACACTCTTTTTCACGTACGACTCGCATATGAAATTTCGCACGGTTTTCACGCTAAATGACTGACGCTGGCAATTAACGCTACTGCGAATTTAATCGTAAAACTGACGAAAATCGAATCGAACTGTATGCATGCAGTATTAGGGACACTAACATGATCAACTACTGTACGTCGATTACTATACAATTTTTAATTTGCAGCCTTTGAACGATGTATACAGTTTAATTTTTATTTTGTCAGACGATATCAACGTATTCTCGCAAAAGTCATGCCATAGATAAATTAATTCTGCCATCATTCTTTTTCACTAAACATATAAAAGAACCAGTCATAATCCAGTCATTTGTAATTCAGAACTCAGTCGCTTGTAATTGGTATAAATTTGTAATAACTTCCCAGTAAAGCATTTACGACCTCATGTCTGTATATCGTTTTTCTTCTCAGTCACAGAATATGCTGATACCGTCTAACGCGATAAAAATGCAACGCTCTGTGCAGCCATGTGCACCGAAAGATTAAGAGTTTCAATACGACATATAACAAATGTACATTTCCGCTGCGGCAGTCAACGTGTTGAGTTGAAAAATAGAACGATCATATTCAGAATATGTAATTATGGCTGATTACACGCAGCCGTTTGCACTGCGGCATTCGACGCGTTAAAATTCACCCGCGTCGAGTAAGCACAGGATCGAAAAAGAAAACGTATCGACGGGAAATAGAAAAACGATCGAACACAACGACGAAACGAAACGAAAGGGAAAAACGGTGGCGTTTGACCAAAGAGGAGATCGTTGGTGGCGTTTCGTGGATCGACGCGCAATTATCTACACGCGTGACCGGAGGAACGTCTGCTCTTAATACGCGTCCGAGGATTCCATCGGATCCACCGAAACAACCGCATGCTCCACGTGCTCGTAACGACCGGAAGTTTTCCCGGATCGAGACTTGAAACTTATCCCATAGCTTCGTTTCGAGTGCTACACCATTGGCGTAACCGGGTATCGATAGGGTGCCTCCGCAAAATATGGGGACTCCACAGGATTAGGGTTAGGTTGTGGCTTTCCAAGTTTCCATTTTTGACTCTACAGAGTTCCGAATGCAAAAATTTTATAGTTATCTCAGAATTCGGAAGTCCCGAATATTCTGGGTTCTAGATATCAACCCTCTAATTTTGAAATTGCCAAATAAAATGCTCGGAGCATCCCAGTAAGCCCAGTAACGCCAAAAAGAATTCGTCAACGAGACGTTTCCTCCTCGTTATCCACCGTGTCCGCGAAACTGATCGACGTTTCCTTTTATCACACGCTCGCATCGCACCACACGCAACAGACAACGACGAAAAGATAGGCAGCCGAACGATGAACGCGTGCTCGTCGAATTTGAAGATTTGTACGCGGCCGTAAAGTGAGCGTGTTATCTACGGAGAATCGCGCGACGGTCGCGTGCCACGAAAAGATGAAAAGAGGGATAAGAAAGAGCAAGTGAAAGAGGAGGGCAAGCGTAAAATCGTTGAGAAAGTCGTCCCATGAGTATCGTCGAGAAGTCGAAGAGAACAGGGGTCAACGAGAGGATTCGCGTGGCTGGAGAGAAGAAAAAAGGTCCAAGATGACTCCGTCGACAGGTTGCCCCGTTCTGCTCGACCCTTCGCGTACATCTTCTCTTTTTTTTCTTCATATAGATATACATGTATGTATATGTACACGTGTATGCATGTCCTTCCCTCTGGATACTGTTCTTTGTTCGGGACAATTTCGCGACTATGCCTCGGCGCTGTCTCGATCGAACGACCATCGAACGAGCCAGCCGCCCATTCTTTCCGCACACCTACGCGATTTCGCGCACATCTACGTATTTATAATGCTACTATGTATATATCGTATTTATATATGTATATTTAGATCGTCCTTCGCGCGACACATCATCATACGCCTCTTCTCCATTCTAATATTCGTTCTACGTTATCACACGTGCACGCTCACTTGTTCTTCGAAGAAAAAATAACGGGTATGTGTGTATCTGTGTATTTTTATAGGTATGTATAAATACAATGCACGGAGGGTCCAAGCTCGTTACGCTGATTATAATAGAAGATGGACGTGTGCAATGTTAGCTTCCCAAGTTCACTCGGTTTAGAACTGTTCGAAATTTGTGCCCGGCTCTTGCGGGAACCTTGGACGATCAATACACATTGGAATATTTTAAGACTCTCACGATCAATATATATTGTCAATATAATATTGTCAATATTTCGGTATCGTTAATAAATATTCGGAACCTTGAAACATTTATGTATAGTGATCATCCGAGTTCTCGATTGACCAATGAACAGTGCGAGAATATACAGCCGGTGTGCGCTTCCGACCAATAATTTAAAGCTTTGAAATTTGTGTATATCTAAATTTATCAATTTCCACGTGTTCAAATTACCGGGTTGATCGCTGTCCTGTTCTGACCTAACCCTCGAGGAACAAAAATGAAAGACCCCTTAAAGGTAGATATATTCCTTCGCAGCAGAATCAGTCGCAACGAGCTTGGACAATTCGATCTCGATCTTATAGTAGAGGCGGGAGACGCAAATGGGAAGAGCGTCGCGACGTTTCGGTATAATCGTTGAAGACCGTATGATACTGTCTGTTCGTTTCAGCCTCGATCGATACCAGACACCTCGAGATTTGGAGCTTCGAGCAGCGCCTGCCTCGATCTTCCTCAACATCGCGTCGCGTCGCACACTCGAGAATTCTCGTGCAAGATGCTCGCGAAACGGAAGTAGCCGCGTGATTATACGTCGCGTATATAACCGACGCCCGAAAATAGATCGTCCACCGGCGGTGCACCGCGAACAATGACCGGCCAAATCGATCAGGGACGAGGCAGACATCCCCGGAGAACAACGACCGCGACCTGTCGCACCTATAACTGTAATAAGCGTATTTCATAGAATTCGGCCGAAAGTGGAACGATACTTTCTCTCGTCTCCGTTCGCGACATTTGTTCTCGGTCGTTGCCGTTTCGCTTAGCATCCTGCAGCTTCGGTTTCTCGTTTCGCGGAGGTACAAGGTCGACGCAGGTTCCATGGCTTCTGATCGATTTGTTCGTAACGGTGTTCAAAGAAACGTCGTGAAACAAGATCTCGAAGACAACGAAATATAGAGCGTGTTGCGAGAAACATTCGCCACGGCTACACGCGACGGAGTTAATTAGGACTTTTTCGGGGCGATATTGTCATGAAGAGTTCCTTTACTCGCGCCACCAACTTCCGCGTATGTACAGGCTACGACCCTGTGTTCTCACCAACGAAAATCTCAAGCTGCTTTTCTATTTTGATTCATGGGTGTTGCAGCTAACCTCTTTAGGTTGGAAAAAGATTCTGATAACTAGTAAGATTTCTGAAAGGATTAATAATGTGCAAGAAAACAGAGTGTTTCTAGGTGAACCTTTGTTGAACTTGCAAACTAAATGCACACGTCAGTATCCTTAATGAGGCTAACCCGATTTTAATGGTCGACTTCATTACCATGATGAAACGCTACACTTCATCAATTGTACATGAACTCATGATTTGTATTATGAATACGTCACTATTTGCATAAACTGTAGGATTTAGTACGAGGTGGAGTTAACTGAAACACCCAATGGAAAGACTTATTATGGAACTCATAACTTTTAATTTGTAATTCACGTTGATTCTAAGTTGAAAAATAATGACAACAGAAGAAGTAGGTTTTTCTACACGCATGAGATTTTCAGCTGGTGCAAAGATATCGAAGGGTCTTGGATCGTTCGTCGCAAGCTACGTGGTCATTCGATCATCGTTCATTTTTCTCCTTTCACGATCCAGATAGAGACGAAACACGTATTGTGCGCTCGATACTCGCGCGAGGCACCTTGCACAATAGAAGCGTAATACGTTTGCGTGAAACGATCTTTTACAGATTAACGATTAGCTCTTACTCGTTACACGGAGATTAGACTACCGAAAGTCGCGCCACGGTCGATTCTCTAACTGGGATTTACAAGCTCTACCCAACCGTGGCGATCCGTCTAATAAATCTTCTGAAGAGAAAAAACAAACGGAAACTTGCTCGCAGTCGACCGATTCAACAAGCGACAACGAAGACTAGCCGAAATGCGAAATCAACAACTCCTTTCGGTCAACCTTTTTCTCCTCGAGGGAACGCTTCAACGAAACAACAAACGAACTCTTTACAACACACGCAACGAAATCAACAGCAACGATCTCAACAGAAAGATTCTTTAACCGTACTTACATCCCTCCTCTTCGTACCTGCGCTACCGATCGAAAGCATGGAGTAAAAAAAAAACACTATTCGATTTTTTATCAAAAGAAAAATATTCGAGAATAACGAATCATTTTTTATTCGTGTATTGCAAGATTGTTCAATAGAAATTGAGAACAAAACGCAGTTATTCCAAAAACAACGAACATTTGATCCGAATAAAAACTTCCGATTAAAAGTTATCGGTGTTTGTGATAACTTTGTTTTATTCGAAACTTTTATTTAGGAATCTTCCGACATACATTCGTTACGAAAAAACATTCATCATTTTCGAATATTTTTGTAGCAAACTCGTTTGATTATTTGAACAATGCCCAACCGTATGTAAAATAAGAACGAGGGTCAAAATGAATGATACAACGATCACGTATCTCGATAATAAAAATGCCAGAACACATAGAGTTGTTAAAAAAAGAAAAACGAATATTGGAACAATACTCGAGGAACTTATTCCGAAAGGGATGTATCGAAGTCTCGTAAACGTAAGAATGAGCAACGATTGAGATAAAAAGTGAGCATCAAGGAAAGGGACCTTCGCCCTTCTACGATGGCACGTTTTAGCCTGTTTCTCATTGATACGCGCTCACCAGCACTTTGATCGGTAAAAAGTACGTTTCTAATTTCTCTGCTTTCACGAAAACTCTATAGGATATAACGTATGTAACGAAGAACTGTTTCGACATCGAACCAAGAGAACCATTCTACATCGAATCGGTTCGAATGATCGCTCGAGATGTCATGGACGTTCGTGGACCATTGACGTAACCAGATAAGGCCCAGGGTGGTTCCTGGACACTCTAAAATATGAACCTCTTTCGATTAGAAATTATTCAAGCACTCTGGACTTCCACAATGGTGATGGAGAAAGGCCATTACCGCTGTAAGATTCAAGACCTATGCATTATGCTTAATTTGTACGAGTTTAAATTTGGTGATATAAACATTTGAAAATTTCGAAATATGAACATTTGAAAAATTCAATGTTTGGACGTTCGAAGATTTGTAAATTTGACAAATTCTAAACTCTAAAGTTTGTTCGAGTAATGGAGTTTCTCGTATCACCATTTTCTTTAAGGAAGACTATAGTGCTCGGTATTTCTCGGGTAATTCTTAATATTTCTTCGGAACATAATCCACCCTACACGGAAATCCTAGTTACGCCAATGCAATGGACTCGACGCAATGGAAGCATTAACATTTTTCATTAACATTCTTTAACGTTTAAAAACACGCTACGAACCGGTTCGCAACAGTCGAACGAAACGTAGTCCGGGCAACGATCCTATCCTAATCAGTGTAAAAATCGATCAACCGTAAAACAAGGAATCTCAAAGCCGCCTCTCGCGTTCCGGATCACCGAGGGCGAGCTTAAAAAAGAAGAGCTACGCGCGAAAACACGAACACACGAACAGTTAAAAACAGTCGGGGTCGTTAATCGATCATTCTAAAACGAACGCATATATAACACGAATAGACTTCGCGAATCGAAACAAGATGCAGAAGAAGAAGAACAAGAACACGAAGGATAACGAAGCGATCATCGCGGTAAAAAGCTACGTATGCAACAGAAATAAAACCTAATTCTAATTGTTCGAATTTGTCGCGAGAACGCACCGGATGGGAAAAATGGTGCAACTAGACGCCGGCTAATTCATTAAAAAAAAGGGGAGAGGGTATTAAAAAAGAAAAAAGACACTGGACGACAGAGAAACTAAAACGAAATCGTACTAAATCTGAAGTAAAAAAAAAAAAGAAAAAGAAAAAAGAAAACTGTCTGCTCAGTCCTGTGCACACAAAATCTCTGTATATACATAAGTACTCGTGTATATAAATGTCTCCCATGTGTGTATGTATATATATATATATATCCTTCAATACGTGTTTACTTGGACGCGTTTTATGTATATATATATATGTATATATATAAGAAGTCTCTGAACGAAAGGAAGTATCCTAAGTAAAAACTGATACGAAGGAAAAGAACAAAATTGGCAGGCCTTGTGTACGTGTGTGTATATTTATATATACGTGTGTGTATTATCGACAGATAGGCGTGTGTAAGCCCTACACGACGAATATCGACAGTAGAAATATTATCTTGGTAACGTCTCTCGTAAAGTTAACAATAATAACAGATTATTACGAGATACTCATTATCGTATAATATGTACAAGCTACATTTTGGTTTCCTCCTTCCCTCGTTCCGCGTGATCTCGAATCTCCTGCTTGAACCAGCGATCCGATCGACTACCTCTATAACGCCACGCGAGTATTCTATTTACTTTAAAACAAGAAGACGATGAAAAAAAAGGCAAGAAATTCAACGAAACATGCCCGGTGAAAGAAAAACGAAACCTGACAAGGTGTCTCGTTGAACCCTTCCTGTCGAACCTCTGATTGTCGAGATTATGCTTTATCCTTCCTAATCGTTCTGATAACAAAAAACACGCTTTCTAAGCTTGCGATTGTCAATGAAAACGGTACACGCTTTCGTTACGAAGAAAACAAGTTACCATATATCGTGTGTGGTTCACGCAACAGTCTATAAAATCTGTAAAACAGTCGAGAACAAGGGTGGTTGAAGCGAAATGGTCGTTTTCAAACGAACCGATACAAAAATACGGTAGAATGAGAACGAGACCTCGAAATCAGACTAAACTATTCGTAACAATAAACGGACAATCTTCTTTCTCCGTTCCTTTAACGACGACATAATCGTTTAATAATTCGTACCTCTTCACGTCGCTCCTACGGACAAACGAAACATGACAAAGTGAAAACTAACGGATATTCTGGCATAGAATACCTGCGATATGATACAAACTGTATCGGTGGTTCTCATCTAAACATCTAGCCTGATTGACAGTCTTCGATAAGAGGAATGCATTCCGGGAGAAAAATAGATTATAAAATGAATATTTAGTACATTTCACGTGAAGCCATATGATGCTCGCGTTTTTGTTAATCGTCGTTTTGTTCTTTTTTTTTTTTTAGAAATCTTTGAAAGCTTTGCGACAGAGTGAAAAAAATATATATATATGTATGTGTGTATGTATGTATACATATATACTTATATGCACGTGTTTAATCGAATTAGTTTAACTTCGCGTGGAACAAATTACTAAGACCTACCTAATGTCGTGTTTACTACTTATTTAAATTACTAGCGGCTTGCCGATGAGACCAGGAGTAACAGACTCGTCGATTCGCTGCCGTCAGTCGACGCTTCACAGCGTGTGTCATGTTGCTACGATTAACGATCATCCTTCGTGGTGACCGTCGATGGTCATACCATTACCATGTCCTCGTCGACACTGATAATCGTAGGAAATGCATTGTCCGCAGAACTTTGCCTCTGGATTGGTTTCTTCCTTACGAGTCCGTCTGTTAGAACAAATAACATACAATTAATTAATAATTATTACTTTATCTTTTGCGTAATGTATCGACACGTGAATCAACAAAATTCGATATCGCGAGTGAACAAAGAAACGCACCTACATATTCGTAAAAAATAATAACCTTCTTTGTCTGGTGCAACACTCAAATGACTAACGATAAAATCATATCATGGAAGCTTCAAGCGTTTCCTGCAATCTATTTCAATTACGGATCACTGACTAATAGCAACATCTACGCAAGACCTATATATTGATGAATCATTCTACGACCAAGGCAAAATTGGATACGAGGCCTCTGTACGTAAACAACGTTGACCTAAATTGCTCGTACGCTTACAACTCGAACCTCGTTTCTCCCTGCACGTAACGTTATCAATATTAACGAAATTGCAATGAATTACCAGCAGAAGATGGGAGAAGATCATCGAGGGACCCATCATCCAAGTCCGTGGCAGATAGAAGTAGGTCATCGTCCGAAGAAGCTCTCGTTAGGCTAGGGAGGGTCGAAGTTAATAGGGCTTTTTCCTTTTGGATTTCTTGTATATGATCGACGAGAATCGCCTCTTCTTCGTCGCCCCGATCTCTGTCCCGATCCGCAGGTCCTCTCGCGGTCGCGCTCGGAGTCGCCGCGTTCAACTCTTCCGGACTGAAGATCTTCGAAGATCGCAGACTGGACAGACGATGTGTGGCCGTGTGGCAGGCAGACTCGAGGGTATTTATGTCGGCCAGAGTTGCCCGCACGACCCTCAGTTTCTCCTGCACGATCGTCTCGACGCAACAGGTCTGCCTGCCGACGTCCTGCAAGGAATCTTGCGCGGGTAGCGCCCTGTTCGTCCTCAGGATACACGGTGCGAAGACTATCGCCAAGGCTGACGGGGACATTCGGTTGTCCACTTCGTGTAGCGCCACTCTCGCCAAGTGGACGATCAGTCGTTCCATCAGGTCGAAGTTGGGCTTCGGTAGCTTCTTCAGGATGGCGAAAAGCGTGCTGATCCGATCCCGGGGATCCGTCAAATTAGCAGCGTGCAGGAAGTCGTCGTAATACTCGAACGTCAACAGAGGCTCCGGCATGTCCCGAAAGAAACTTTTCAGCACCGCCGCGAGAACGTGTACCTGATAGTTCTCGAAGTCCACCTTTTCCAGATCACCCTCGTCCATTTTCAGTTTCAACTCCTTCACTTTCGAACTGACACCGCTCTTTCTATAGATGCCCTCCGTGTAGAGACCGTGCATCTCTATGGTCGTGATTAATCGATCCACCACCACTGGCACTTTTCCGTCGCCACAGTCGAGTTTATACAACGGTACACCGAAAACTTTGTGCGAGTTCATCTCGTGCAGCGACGCGTCCTTCCCGCACTCCGCAGACACTTTCATATAGCACTTTTTGTGACAAGTTAACTTGCAATCTAAACGAGTAGAGTTGGAATTAAGAAATGTACGATAACAGTAAGAATTAGGCTGCGGATGTTTATGTAAATTTCGAGATACATTGATAAACGTGGACGGAAGGAAACCCAACCCCAATGACGTTAATCTGAACACGCGTTATTAAGTTCATTATCCTGAGTGATTCAAAAGGCTTCGCCCGTTGTTCGTTGCTTGTTAAAAAGTGATAAAAATACGAACCAACGGTGTAATCGCAACATGCATTTGCATAAACATCGGTAGTCGAATAATAATCAAGAACAGAATACTTACTTTGGCATACAAGTCCTCGCTCGATAGGCCACATAAAGAAAGACGTGCACACCTCGCAGGCTGTAGGTATATTTATCATAGTTAACTGGAACATATGATTACCATGTCGCGTGGGCTCCTCCTGTTTCCGTTTCTTCTCCTTCTTACGTTTACTTTTACTCTGTTTCTCCGGTGCTTCGGTTTTGACTAGCGTCATGAATTCGTTCATGAATCCTCGGAAAGCGTTCACGCCCATCGTCACGGGGAAATCTTCGGTGGTATTTTCTTGCTTGCAAACCGTCTCCATCACGTGTAAAAAGTTCGCGATTAGATCGGTGTACTTGATATTACCCTCGACACCTTGTTGAATAGCGACGCTGTAAGTGATCACCAGATCGTCCTTAAATTTACGCAATGCTTGTTTGAACACGCGATCTACTTCGCTGGGTTTCCTGCCTTCTTCCTGGCCCTCCATTATGTATATCTTCTTCGTGATGAAATCCTGCATAAGCGCCAACTCTTTCGCGTCGGATATTATCTTGTCCGTGCTATCCGAGAAAGCCGAGGTTCCGGTCAAACTAAACTTGGACGCGACCGTTTGTTTGTTAGCGTCGTAAGGTGTACGAGGTATTTTCCTGTTTTTCCGCCTTCCCGGAGTGTTTGCTAGTATACACGGCATTTTAAGTACCCCGCCATTCTGAATACATTTCACGTGGTACAACTGCTTGCAGTCGATGCACTTGTAGCCTTGCGTCACGAATGCGTCCATCTTTTCGTGGCAGCAAACGCACACGTCATCTTTGGCGAATCTTGCTACTTTTCTAAAACAATGACCAGCTAAAGTGAAAAGATTGCCTTTCCATTCCAAAAGATTCATTCCTGGCGCGAGTTTCAAATCGTTCGGACTCGTATCGGTGCCAGCTTTGTCCTCGCTGAGCCCCGATATCTTCGTAGCCGGGTCGGAATTTCTTCTTCTTAATTCCAGAGTCGTTATAGCGTTGGATCTCATACGTTTTCCAGGTTGCTGAGTCTTCGATGCGGATTCGCTTTTATTCACGGGCCAATCGGTCACCGATCTCGACGCGACCTCGTGCGAGCCATCTTTTCGAGATCGCACATTTGCAGACTTGTGCAGGTCGCTTTCTTTAATGGTACCCAGGAAGAGACTCTTCGGTTCTCCGGCACCAGTTTCCGAGACACTTTCACCCATGGATCGACATTGGACCTCGCGAGATGGCCGGTTTCTTCTGGCGCTTCTAACGGGCACATCAGGTTCGCATTTTTCTTTCGGTCTCGAGTTTTTCTCCTTGGGTGTATTTCCTTTCAGTAGTGTATTTTTCAAGACATTTTCATCGTTCACGACATCCAATTGTTTTATGGACGTATCACCTTCCGAGTTTTGTCTCCTTAAATAACTGAAATCTTTTATCTCTTTGCCATGAGTGTAGGTCTGATCACGTCTAATAGGCGAAGCAGGAACGCTTTCGATTCGCTCGCTAGGCACGCTGTTGTCACTCAATCTACGCTGTTCCCTGCCCGAAGAGCTTTCCATGTGAACAAAACGTTCGTTTGGATCCAGCTTCACGTTATAATTCGACGCTTCGTTCGGTTTGTCCTGCTGCGTTTGTTCAAATATGTTATCAACAATATTTTTGTAATAAGAAACATTCGGAGATCGAACCAACGTCGTTTTCTGCGGACCCGACAGCAAATAATCGCTGTAATTAATGCACGAACAGTCCGGCCTACGACGCCAGACATCTGAATTTGGACTATTCGTTAAATTTATGTTCGACTGGTGGTACTTAATTTCTCGCGGACTCGGGAATGGCGGCGTAGCATTGAAAACAGGCGGAGCACTCTGCACAGCGCTTGGAATCTCCGTATCAGTCTCTCCATCGCTGTAGCCTGTCGACGAACTATCCGCTCGTTTACTAACAGACGACAAACGACTGGAAGTATTAGTTAGACTTGTGTTTGTCGTAACTACCGGGGACTGATCGCCACGTTTTGTTCTGGTACTCGGTACAGGCTTATTGTAAGAGTTTTCCTGAGACTCAGAACTGTTCACGCTAATTTGAGATTCGTAGCTCCTTAGACTCGTCAAGCTTTCAAGACTACTTTTACGTTCGTTAAAATCTTCCGAGGTGAACGATTCTGCATTTCTCAAGATCGCGCTAGATTCCTGTAATATTCGGGCATTTGGTGCAATTTTACGCTTCGAATACGATATGCTTGTATCGACATTACTATCCCGAAGAATGCTGTCCGTCCTGCAAATGATGTTTTACTATAGCTCTGTATTCAACAATTGTTTTAATCAAATACGAAATATTTATTTACCTTGACGATGATAGACGATTTTGGAGTTCCGTTTTGCGAATGGTATTGAATTCCGGAAGTCCATGATCTTCCGTGAGTGATCTACGCATTGAAATCAAAGCATGAGTAGCAGTTATAGACGCTTACATAAGGGGTGGTGAACAGATAGATTATTTTGCGACGTTCTATATACACATGCTTACTGACGTATGTAACTAATTAGTGGCGTAAACTAACAACCGAAACAGTAGATTATCACCCCTAACTTACAATACAATGTGAATTATACTTACTCTTCACTATCCCGGAGTCTGGAATATATCTTGCTGTTATCATACGTAAGCTCTCTTTGATCGTGACTCTCTTTGTAGTCCCCAATTTTATCTACGAGCAATTTCTTTTGTTTTTTGAGTTCTGCAAAAGCCTTTCTTGCATTATTACCTCGCACGTAAGCTTGGAAAGTAATCACACACGACTTCAGCTTCTTAAACCAACTGTGTTGTTTGTATGCCCTCCAGGCAGATTGGATGTGAGTAGCAGCCTCGATTCTGGCGCGTAACGAATTCGCGAATCTTTGAGCAATAACCATTCTCCAGAACGACTGTATTTGTACGACTGCATTCTTTAATCTAAGGAACTTTCTCCTCTCCAGACAAGCACGGAACCATTTCTGTATTGTTGTAATACTTGTAATTATTTGCTGATGCAGCTCTATGTCCAATTTGATCTTTTCCGATTCTCTGAGGAACACTTTCGTTGTTCCGAGCTGATAATTATCTCTGTTGAGATTCAGCGTCAATAGAAAATCTCGAACGTCCGATTGAGAGCTTAACAGTCCTTTAGGTAGCAACATTCTGTACAGCTGGATAAATTCTTCGTACGTTAATCTAACATTGAATCCAGCTTGCCTTATTCGGACCGTCTCTAACATCCCCGTGTATCGTAATTGTCGTTGCACAGTCTCCTCATCGAACTCATTTGGTACCTTATTAGCATTGCTCTTAATGCATCTGATGAAGAATGGATTTGCCTGATTTAAAGTATCCATAAGACTGTGCAAACTTTGTTGGAACTGTGCCGATACTGTCATAGGTTGTTTTCTCGCTTTTCCAGGCCCGGTACCATAACTCTGTATTCTTCCAGCAAGTGTCTTCACGGTTTGAAGATTTTTTAAACCCTTCTTGCCACGTTCTCTTGGCCGAAACGATTTGTTTTTCCTGTAAATGTCACATTGAAATATACTGCTGTTAAGCAATAATTAAGGAATTCCTTTTCCTATTTTTTTTTTATACTTACTAAATTAAAGCGTGGATTAAAATTTTTAATTTAAAGCCAAAAATACATTTGATCTTGTATGAATTGTGAGTTATGTATTTTAGTCATGTTATAGTATTATCGTTATGTGCAGTAAAAAACAGGAAAAGGAGAATATAGGTATAGTTCTTACAGTGACATAAATGGCATTGCAAATATATTTAACAAACGTAGTATGAAATATAAGTAGCAAACATTTAGCAGAATATTGTAATAATTTAAGTGATTAGATCATAAGAGCAAATGTAACAAGCATGTGATAATAAGTATAGAAACTGCCTATGTAGAAGAGAGTGACTAGTAAATTTAAGTGTCTAATAATATAAAGGAAATGTGATCACTGAACTAGATAAATGCATGATTAATATGTATTAATGGCAAGCTGTTCTCATTTTTAAGAAATGAATTCAATCTCCTTGTTAATCCATGAATACATAATTTAATGTAACCTTTCAACCTGTTAGATAGTTCAAAGATATTATCGTGCAATTAACTGCGGTTAGTTACTTGCAATAGAGGAAGTGTTAGTAAAATGTGGAGTTCAGAAGAACGACTCCTTAAATGGAATTTATTCGTTACACTATGCAGTATAAATTAATCCATTGCTAATTATATGTATCAGTAATATAAAATTAGATACAACACTCTAACGAACATTGTGGACCTCTAATTGTTCACCATTAAAATGGATTAATTCACACATTTTCCATTCAAACAATAAGGAACTGCCACTGTGAAATCAACATGCATTAATTCTAGCTAACAGTACAAACAAACGTAAAATAAATCGTTAAAACACGATGATTAGAAGACGATAAGTTAGGGATAATGATCGTGAATATTATGAAACAACCAAAGAAAAAATGTACATATATTGTGATTTCTATAAAACAGCGATGAACAGATCGAATGCACTCCGACGAGGTCGCGTTTAAAATCCTCGGATAATCGAATTTAGAAATTTTCAAACCAATTTCGATCGCCGCTCGAGGGTACACTCGTTGTTCATCGCTGCTATAAAACGCGTGAAAATTTGAAAAAAATAGATGAATATTCATAGAAAGCTGTAAAGTGATTTCGCATGGGAAGACCATCAATATCCTATTAAAATGCTATTACCTATCGAGATAAATCCTTCACCCAGAATTACTATAGAGCGCACACTACCTTTATCATAGCGCAGTGAGTTTTTGTAGCTTAAATTACAATATTATCGTATACATTAAAAATATATACTGTTTACATACATGACTATTTGATTAGCGCGTTCCATGACGTTTGCTTCGTCTTTTGGAAGCACCCTCTCTAGCGGAGTATGAGTATCTCGTCTGACTTTATTATTACTATGAGGCTGGTCTTCCCTGCCCCTTATTAAGTAACCCTTCATTGTGGTGACATTTGACGGGTGTTGCGTTTGGTTAATGTTTCGAAATTGTGGCCACGACAATCGGTTGTTGTTTACATTGTCGCTGTTTTCGAGTTGTATGGAAGATAATGTGGTAGTGGGTATAGCTGATGGCACGCAGACACTGCGCTGCTTCTGATAGCTTGGTGGACGATTATGTTTGTGAGAACTGAAAAAGTCTCTCATGCTTAGTTTTCTAATAGTTTTCGTATGAACTAGCTAACATCGATACTGTTCATTCTGAATACTTAATTTGCGTTATATCTCTTTGACTCTATTAGTGACACTTGAAAGAAAATTTTACGGAGAACTTATTTCATGAGTGACTCCAATGGAATATAGGCGAATTTTAATGATTGATAAGAATTGTATAAATAAAAAAACGTTGTTGATGCATTGTTAATCATGCTCAAGAATAGCAAGTAAAATTGCATATTTTTAGATGACAGGATGTAACTGTATGACAAAAGTTATGAATATCGCACTCTAATCACACTTAGTACAAATAGTGCATACATATCATTCTAAATAATACTTTGAACACAAAAAGAAAGACTGGAAAACGTTATATGGATTTACAAGATTGTTCTCCTAATTACGAATCAATTGAAACTTGGCCTCAGTGTGCTGTTTATATGTTTTATGCAACGTTAAATGTAAGCATTGTAAATCCATAGAATATCTTAGTCTAAAAGAATGTAAAGTTTATTAAAATGACACATACAGTGGATCAAAAGACCACTTACGCGATTCGGTTAATAGTTAGATTGACGGTCGACAACGTCACAAGATGGCTACAGGGACAAAAGACATGTGGCCAATGTAAATATAATCAACGTTTGCTTTAATTATAAACACATAGGAACTTCTTCAGCTTGATGCAAATATTAACGCACAACGTAAATGTATGTTTCATAGGGCGAGACAATATGCAGATAAAACATATTCGTAAACAAGCATAAAAACATTGGCACTTGTTTATCACGATCATTATTATTTAACCAACAAATGTTCTATATCATGAGTATACGAGCATTTAACTTTTTTTTGAGTCACCCTTGATGAAAATAAAAGTAAATAAATTTAAATAGAAAAATAATGAATACCTTATCAAATTCTCGTTCGGTGTCCTATACCTGTTTTGGACAGATGTTTTTGTACCATCAGCTGGAACAGAAAAAAGTATTTATGAATTATTACCGATATAAGGAGCCAAGAATTTAAGAATAAAAAAAAATTACCTCGACCATGTCTATGAGCTCGACCAGCTTCTTGGAAAGCAAAATGAGCACGAAAAAATGCTCGAAGGATAGCCCATCTAAATACAGCAACCGGATCTGCACCCACTAATTCCCGAACAAAAGCAAGGGAAGAATTTTTCAATACACCAACTACACCATCAGGTCGCATTAAGTCCAGATTCTTTTCTCTCATGTTGGATGCTTGGTATTTAACAGACCCAGCATAATGTCGTACAACGAAAGCTGCTTCGCGTCGTTGTGGTGCCTCGTAAAATGGATTGTCTTTATGTACCGAATTAAATTTTTGTAGCAGTGTTTCATTCGTTGCGCCCGGAAAGCTATTAGGAACATTATTCATATTCAAAGATACAGAATATAGATTGATTTCTTTAAAACAAGAATAAAGTATGATACCCACTTGCATTGATCGTCTAAAAGACAGAGAAGACCATTCGGTTTTCCTTCGATTAAATTTAAGCAGCCCGAATTATCGCTGTATCCTATATCCGTCCACCTAATTCCCTGCTTTCTGTACTCTCGTTGTTCGTATTGAAAAACATGTTGATTGAAATAATGTTGTAGCTGTTCGTTTGCATAATTTATACATAATTGTTCAAAGCTATTGCACGTTTTGAAATCTTCGAAACCAAAAATATCTAGTACACCGATGCTATTGCCTTGGTGATCTCTAAGAGTATCTTTCTTTGAGAGCAAAGCATGATTCACCTAAAAAGAATCTTGTTCTTACTCGATCTTATGATGGTTTTTACGAAGAATGAAGCAGTATTTCACCTGTAGCACAATCCAATCAAACAACGCTCCATACAGACATTTGGCCATAGCATCTCTTGCTGCAATTGCTTCTGGAAGCCTATAGTTAATTACTAATGTTTCTCCGGAAGCTCTTGCACGTTTGGCAGTAAGTGCAGCCAAAAGAGTCTCTTGTTTCACTCTGAGGAGTTCGGAGATCAATGCAACCACCTCAGGATTTTTCACTCCTACAGCTTCATCGTGATGATGATAAGACTTTCTAGGTTGAAATTCCACATTGCCTGAAATCATGAAACATCGTTAGTTTATTTGACGAAAAAGCAACAAAATATTGTGCTAATCACCGAGTAGGAGGACAGCTGACAAAACTGCGAACAATCGTCTTTGTTTTTCCGGTGTAAATCCAACCATTTCCATGGATTGTTTCAGTCTTGAAAATTCATGTCGCTCATCGATATTTTCCAGTCCATAACAACCACTTTTGTTTAAATAATTATAACGATCACAACTTTCTAAATGCAGAAGTTGCTTTTCTTGTTCACTTGCACCGGCCAAGAGGTAATAAAATACATGGTAATTTCTTTCATTCCTCCCTTGAGAAACTATTCTTGATTTTTCCAAAAGATACTTTTGTACAACAGCCCTGGTAACAGCAATATAAATTCCAGTAATTTTGTAAATAAGTTGTAGGATAACTTTTACATACAATACAGAAAGAAGCTTACCCATGTACCATTCCATTTTCTTTATAATTCACCTGTATGAATTTACCGAATCGACTACTGTTGTTATTATGTGCCGTTTTTGCATTCCCAAATGCTTCTAGTACTGGGCCAGCACTGAGTATCGTCTGTTCAACACCACTACCATGAGAACCTTTCTGGCTAAGTGCTGTCAAATGGTGCAATAGAAAATTTGTCGATTCCGTTTTACCGGATCCACTCTCCCCGCTAATAACAATACACTGATTTCTCTTTTCTTTAAGCATACAATGATAAGCTGCATCAGCTATGGCAAATATATGTGGAGGTATGTCTGGCCCCAATCTTCTGTTCTGATACAGTTTCACATATTTTGGATTGTAGATAGGATAAAATTTAAATGGGTTCAGTGCAATTAATATGCTGCCAACATATGTGTATATGTTTCCAGCTAAAAACCTAGCCCGGAGGTTGTCCAATAGAGTTTGTTCATTAAGATCCGGAAGCTGACATAGATCTGGATATTCCTTGTCACGTGGTTGATACAAGAATCTATTAAAATAGTCCTTTAAAAGTTGCGGATCCATGGGAAATCTACTGTCTGACCATAAATAATCTGATTGCTTTTTTCGCAAATAAAACCTACATATAACAAATTACATAAATTTCATGTTCCTCTTGTCTTACAATTAATTTTGTTATTTTGTTTATTATTTTGATGAAGTTTATTTCTTACCTGTAATACTCTTGCTGCGCTGCATTTTTTGGCCATAGTAACATAAGTGCCACGGGGCACTCAGATGGTCCAAGTCTTCTTTCTTTACATTCTTGTCCGACAGAATTTCCTACAACTTCTGCTAATTCATAACCATTAGAAACAGAAGCATCAACTAATCCAAGTCTTTCTATGATACATTCCACTATCTCTGCCGATGAAGTTTGTTTTGTTGCTTTAATTGAAAGTGCTTCATATTCTGGGCTCCATTCACCCACAAATACTTGCACTACTCCTGAGCCACAGTTATCCATTTTTTAACCCTATAGAATTTAAAAATTCATGTGTTTAAATTCAAAGTAATGATAATTTAATATACATGTACATGTCATGCCGATACATTACTGTACCTTATTCTTTATAGGGTTAACAAACTTGTCCTCTGTCATCCAAGCAAAATTTCAAATGTATTGTTTCTTCTCCTTTCTGTTTTTCAATTATGTACAGCCATTGATACAAACGTTTAAAATAACTTTTATACATTTTGTTTAAAAATGTTCACTGTTACAGTCTCACTGATTTCTGAATTTATTTACAGTTATTATTTATTTTAATTTAATTTTGTCAAATGCACTCAAAATTATCCAGTACTTGTAAACTAAAAAACCTTATTTATACACATCAAGTCAAATCTTATATATGAATTGGTTTAACAAAATAAAAATTTGTAAATATTATTTTTCTTTCATCGCAGTACATAGTATACAGAAATAGTAAAGTATTTCCAAATCTTTCTTAAAGCTTCCTTTTAAATTCATTATTTAATTTGATCGATAGGACAAAAATACCACAGAGTATTGTAATCATACATTAATATACTTTTTTCTTTTTGTATAATAAAATAGAGTGAGTAAAATTATTTTATTCTTTTTAGATTTATATATTCAGTCAATTTTACAGATCTTTATTGGTTTTGTTCTTTAGCAGTTAGAGTATTCTGAATGTATAGGATAACGTGTTTAATTCAGGTATCATGTATTTAACACTGAATGTTCATTAAAACTTTTCTGACAGCCATTATATTTTATGACATTCACCATATACTTGAAAAGAATGTAGGTGTACTATTGTTGGCAGGCAGTAACTCAGTTTCTCCACTGAGACAATAATCCAAGGTTTTCAATACTTTGTGAACATCTCCATGACATTTTGAGTATTTTACTATACTTATTGCAAAAGATTACAGACACATTTGCATTTGTACGTATTATAAAACTTTTGTGCGTTAAGGAAGTATCTTATCTGGAAAACAAACATATATGGAATATCAATGTGATCCATTTCAGATCAAAGATTTATTGTATACTATATGTAGTATCATTGTTACGCCGCTTTATTACATATATGTACTCTTTCCACATAAACATTACATCATAATTTAATACAATATGAGGATTTATTACTTTATTTACATCTTAAACACTTTATCATATAATAACATTTATCTGTCCAATACTGTCAAATTAATAAACTGACAATAACGTACATATTTCAGCTAATAATTCTAACCTTTAAAGAAGAAAAAATGTTAAACCTGCGTATTACCCCAGTTATTTTAAAAATTCTTTCTACTTTTGTACTTGTTCCCAATGAATTAGTAGTGGACGAATTTAAAAATATCCCACTGTGTCTCTCCGTCTTTACCGGTAATTTTTCAATGAAAAAATATCGAATGTATCGTAGCACAGTACGAGAAACAACGTAGAGTAATATTCTGAATAATCTCGAGTGAATGGTAATCGTAACACATTGATCATTCGTTGGATACACAAAGGATTGCGAAAAACGACATACGTTCCCGAGATACCGATTGCCTCGGACCTGACGGCTGACATTCGCAAGGAAAACCGTCTTCCGACGCCGATTGGCGGGTCATGGACCATACCACCAATCAGCAACGATCTGCGAGTGTGAACGTCAACAGAGTAAACCGGGCTTAAAGTCATCAAGAATTTCTCGTTCAGGCATGACACTTACTAGTGGTAACATATCATCGTGAAGGAATGCGATGAAAACATGCAACCCTATTCAAAAGATTATGCTTTCTTCAATTACCTCTTTCGCTGGTAACAAGATGCTCGATGTGACACATTCTTATAATTCATCAAAACTCTCGCATACTCTAACATGCTTCCACGGACATGATTTTCACTGTAAACGCACTGCCGTCTGTTCACAATTACCAGTTTCCTTCCTTCCTGTTCGTTTACCTCAGATATATTCTCGTTTTTATTCACCTTTACGAAAACATACTATCGAAGGAACGATAGATGCATCCGTGACTCTCGCGGATTCGATACACACTGTTCCTCTGTTTTCTCGCACCAAAAGAATACACGTACAATACGGGCGGATTGACACTTCGGTAAACAAGATCTACTATCACCAATACTTCTACGCTATATCTAACGTCGCCGGTTTTACTTGAATTTACACCGATATTCGCGGTTAATCGTGTTCTTCGTTTGATAATATCGATGACACGGATGATGGGCCCTTGCCCAGTTTATCGTCCTTCGTCTCCTCTCGGGATCCTGCGTCCCGATACGTCCACCATTTCGATTTTTCCGATCACATGGTACATAACGTCGATTCTGATTGGCTCGTTCCCCGTGACCACGTGACTGAAAGCCAGAGCACAAACTTCCATTGACAAGGAGAAGTCCATCGATGCAATGCGAATTAATCGATGAATTTTTCTACGATGATAAATATTAAAATATCAAAGCTACTCATCCATGGTTTCAGATGCAAACAATTTATACTTTACAAAATATAAAATATTCAAGTTTCTGCTAAGTGCGAACATATACCAAAAAGCGAACGTAGTGCAGATGGTAAAACATCCGCTACGAAAAAGTTTACTACATTCTGCCCACTAGTTCCTTACTTTTTTATTTTTAATTCCTTTCTCTCATTACGATCTTTTGATACAAAATTTTAATCACAGTCATTTTCCGATTTAATTTCCACTGTTCTAGCAGTTACATATGTGGCGAGTCGTAATAAAAATCGTGCTACAGTGAAAGTATCGATCGAACAGTGCCGGTAAAATATCGGCCGTTCCCTGCAAGTAGAATTTCGGAATATTTCTTTACAGCCATACTGGCAATCATTATAAGAAGTTCGTTCTAAGAGACCTGAATTACCGACATCGTCCAAAATCTCATTTTTGCCAACTGGTTTGTTGCGACCTCTATGTTTCAGATCACTGGTTTTGAGAACTACGTCAGACAACGCGACCAAGGTTGATCAAGCAGCACAAGCAGTGCATGACCAAATGTCTCCCAATCAACAGCTACACGACCTCCACTACTAGATGGACTATTTCCAATCATTAATTCACTCCACAAATTTTGAAATTCATAAATTTGAGAATTTGAAAATTTTTGGGACTGAAGACTCGAGAATGCAGGAATTTGAAAATTCAAATATTTTAGAAGGGGTAGTTTTGGTAATTTACAAATGTTTACCAAATGTATTGTAATATATTCGTCTGTTATATGAAGTATTAATATTATCAACTTGTAATGCATGGCAAGTTCGATTTTCAGCTATAAGTTTGATCCGAAAAAAGGTCGCGAGTTCTATTTTCATACGGCATCAACCTGTATTCATTGTGTGGGCAATAATTCAGTGTCGATCAATGATGGATTGAAGGCATATCTATTGACTGCTTCTCTCATTGAGATAGGTATCTAGGAATATAGTAATGGAATGTAATACACGTACAATTAATAGCTGATGTGTAACACAGAATTTCGGTATTTGGTATTGACGTTTTCATGTCTACATTAACGAAACTAGCTGGCCGGTTAATCAATACGGTTGCAACTGCTGCTACATTTTATATTTCATAGACTACTTCAATACACGAACGATACTATCAATTACATTCTTATTACATTTACTGAAACAAGAACATTGTTCATTAATTTACTAATAAATCTTGTCGTCGTATCCTCACACAACAGGAATTTTATTTTATTTAAGTACAATTGGAATACACTTAAAAATGATATTTTTGTTATCCTGCAAAACATGTGTAAATGTCACGAACGTGTATCAGCGTGGGAATTTAAGCTTAATCTCCGCAAAACATTTCAAACAGCTTTCAAATAATAATCTTATGTTCCATTCAAAGCAATACTATTGCATCGTGTTTATTATTTTCCAATCCTTGATACGAGGTTACGGGGGCTTTTCTGTCTAGATAACGAACAAAGCATTGGTGTATCAGAGGCACTATAGAGATACTGGTAATTGAATTATACTAAATAAAGCTATAACAATCCGAATGCTCTGTTTGAGCGAAGGAGAACGTATCACAATGGAACCTAGGGAAATCAGAGGAAGAAACTTCGTTGGCAAAGTTTCGTCAAGTTGAATGAAGAAAATGAACGAAATGCGGTTTCTATTGCAAGTTTCAATTTAGCGGAAGACCATTTGAAACGTGCTTCGAATATTAATCAATTCGGCCGTACAGCTGTGCTGTAATTCGTTATAATTCTCGTACGTAAAGATACCTAATTATAGATTTCTCGAAATTTCATTTTAAACGTAATTGGACGCAACAGAGGAGAAACATCCTTTTCAAGTTTCGACGCTTCAATAAGATGTAATTAAAACGGTGGAAGTTTCAGAACTTGGGAATTTGAAATTTTGTGAAGGAGTAAGCTTTCGAATTCAGGATTTTTCCTGTTAATATCGAGTTCTATTTTTTCTGTACCCAAACACTCGACAATATTGCAATACAATCTTTGCACGACGAAAGAATAAACAAATGTTAGATGCTTTCGAGTGACATCCGAGGCACGATAGAAACGTTTACACGTTACGTCACTCTTGCACTTAGAATGTCAAACGTGGGCGAATGATCAGATGTCGCGCAGGAGTTGAGAGAAGATCTGGGGGTAAAATGGTTTTCGTGTGATGCCTGAAACGAGTAAGACGACCGCCAACACGACGCATTGAAAGCGAGCCACGAAAGTTCCGCTTTTCTTCGCTCGTAAACCAACTACTTTTCAGAAATATTTTTCTCAGTTCCAACCTGCGGAGTTCGGCAACTGTGTTATGTAATTCACCAAGCATTTATACACCTCTCCACATAAGGGTTTTGGTTAGTCGCGTATTGTCCAAATTCGTAGACATCGCGAAAAAAAATCTATCGCATACACATGGTTATAAAGAGAGTACCTCGTGAATCTAAAAATACTAGGGTCAACGTGTGTAGAGAATGGTGCTATACGTTGCGTATCACTTATTCATAGTATTCTATCACAAAGCCTTATTTGCGCTTTCTTCTGTTGTCTCAGCTAGCGTTAGCAATTATTCTCTTTAAAGTTCGTGCATCGCTTTTCTTATTTATTCCGAATAGCGCTTTTACTTCATAGGAAATTCTTTTATACTCGCTCATAAAAGGGGTTATAATATTTCGATGGATTTACGGTCGCAGGAGATCGAGTAGATTCACGCAGTGTGCGATCAGACCCGTGTCTGACTAGCAGCACGCTGTTATAGAGGCCTGAGGCAAGTAGTATTACCGCAGAACAAGGGAGACGATTTCCCAGTAGTACAAGTCAGCATTTGAAGCTAGGTTGGGAGTAATGAACCTGTTATTGATACTTCCGTGTCGCAGTTCCGTCTAATTCTGTTCGTAAATATCAACTGATTCGGAGTTTACGAAAAGGATAGAACGTAAATTAAAAGATTACTTCGAACGGAGGCCATTGAACATTAAATTCATATCGTACTTTAAACTGCAATTACGGTCGGGAATACCGTTGGTCGGACAAATGATATGTTGATCTATTTCGAATACAATTTGCGAGAACAGTGAATTGTAGACATTGCGTGTCTTCCAGCCCGTTCAACTTTATATTACGATTCCTTATCACGCGAGTGGGAACGTTTTGCGTACGTTTATCCTGACGAACTAATTACTCATCTAAAATCCACATAAGGGTCAAAGTATTTTAAACCCGCGAAGTTAACGGTTATATCAATTCGAGCACAGAAAGAATTTAACTTTCGGTTTCGCGAAATAATTAAGATCGAAATGGAGAAAATGTAGGCACAACGGTGGACGAATTGGAACAGCTTTTCGGAGTTCCAAGGTTGTAATCAACTACAATCGAGAAATTACTGCCCTTTTGCATCAGAATGCTAGACTAAACGAAGCGTTCGAGCGGAAAGTCAAGGAACCCATTAAAGATAGATTCCCAATTCGTACTCGTGCCTCGCTTAATCAATTTCTCGTGTAACATTCCACGTGGGGATTCCTGTACGCGAAAGGCGTTTAAACTCTATCTGGCACGATGCCTATCGCAATAATTAACAGCGAGTACACGCGTCTGCGTATTACATCTCGCAAGTATGTAACGTATATACGTATTAAAAATAAGGAAACGGTAAGAATAATCGAGGGTCGGAAGAATTAGCCTGGGGGATAGGTGAAAGGTCAGAAGAGGCTCGAGAAACAATCGTCGATACGTCGATCAAACACGCGATCGTTAAGAGAAACGTCGGATTAAAAAATGAAGAAACAATCAGAGCGAAATGCACGGGCAGTTGTGCAAGTAGAGCCGAAAGGGGTAGGTGATTCGTGGTCGCTCGTCGGACCGATCGGTTCCGGTCGGTGCCGCTCGTGCAGCTCCGTATCGGTGGCGCCGGCGCTATACAACCCGCTTGACGTAGCAACATGGCGGCGGCGTGTCGGAGGCGTCTCCGTCCGCACAGTGCTCGACGTCGAGCAGTCCGCGTACGTTCGCAACAACGTTTCACCGCATTAATGTGGTAGTGTATCCGGAACACCGTACACGTCCGTGGCCACAGTGTAATCCCGTGTTTCGCACCATAAATCATCGACGATCAGAGAAACAACGTGCAACGGCGGGACGTCGCGATCAGTGCGAGGAACAACGAAAACAGTGTGAACTAGATTGTCCCGTTCGTAATAATTTCGGTTGATTTAGCTCGTGGTGCGTGTTACTCGTTTCCCCCTTTCCCTATCCTTCCTACACCTTCGTTCTTCCTCCTTTTTTCCCCCTCGTTTCTCTCTTTCTTTCTCTCTTGTTTAGCGTCCCTCTTTTTTTTTCTTTACTCAACTTCCATCCACAGAATTGCTCGCGAGATCTGGCTCTGTACGTATATACACGCGCGTGTACCGTCTCGTTTCTTTCGGATAGCGTGTACATCTCGTAGCCGTCCCTGTACTTCTGGCATCGCGGTGAAATGCTCGTAACCGGTTGTGCCTCGAGACGACGTCGAGGACGTCGCGCCTGTCGTTGGTGTACGATTCCTTGACGAGCACGGGATACGTGCAAACCGGCGCATGCACTGCAGCCCCTGCTACTATGATAATAACGAGAAAGGTGGCACGGTGGGCGCTCCTCCTGAAGCGAGAGGCGCTCGGCCGAAACTACGGTGCACAAAAGCGGTCAGAAGAGGCACCCAGCGGTGCCACGGCGATGCTGCCTCGTTCCGGCCGGGTAGATGACAACATCGACACCGACACCGTGGCCACCGACCTGGACAGGATCAGCAGCTGCGTCGCGTTGGCGCTGCCGTTGCCGTTCCCGTACTACTATCACTATTACTACAACCCTCGTGCTGGCATCGCCTCTCAGTCATTATTCGAGATAGCTCGCCGCACGCTCCGCGGAGACCACGAGGACGAATTGCCGATACCGGTCGAGGGGATCGACGGACCGCGAGGGAAAGCTACGTGTACTAAGTTAGCCGCATCGACCGAGCCAAAAACGAAGGAGCAACAGGACGTGGAACACGGTGGACAGGAAACGGAGAACGCGGCGAGAGGAATAGAGAAGGGAATAACAGTGTTCGCGAGCGTGGACAGTAACCGCCTTAATTACCAGAACGTACGAGCACGATTTTCTGCATGACCAACAGCCCCTCTCTTTCTCTCTCTCTCTATCTATCTATATGTCTCTCTATCTCTGTCTGTGTCTGTTACGTGTGCGTGTGTGTTACGTCGAGCCGAAGGTAATCGCGAGCGCGATTCCACGCAGTACCGGCGTGTAAAGATCACGACTGAAACGGAACGACCCTCGTGCAAAACGACTCGACGTTGAACGTTATCGGTACGTTGACCGGTGCTGCGATCGTCGAGCAACGAGAGATTACTCGTCGAGCTACGAGAGTTGCCGAACAAACGTGCGTACGCGCGTGATCATCCCTCGTGGAGAGTCCAGTGAGCGAAGTCGACGAGAGCCGAGAGTGGTGCGCGTGAATTTGGACGCTCGTCGCTTTCACGGTTCCGTTGTCGCGTCGCGTACGCGAGAATTCACCGGCGTTCGCGAAACATCGCGCGGAACACGAGACGGAGGCAAACTTGCCGGGATAGGAAGTACACTTGTCTGGGTTGTTGTTGTTGGGTGCACGCGCGTGCCGGTGTCACGAGACGACTCGTCGCAGAGGAAAAGAGAGAACGCTACACCGTGGCCACCGACCTGGACAGGATCAGCAGCTGCGTCGCGTTGGCGCTGCCGTTGCCGTTCCCGTACTACTATCACTATTACTACAACCCTCGTGCTGGCATCGCCTCTCAGTCATTATTCGAGATAGCTCGCCGCACGCTCCGCGGAGACCACGAGGACGAATTGCCGATACCGGTCGAGGGGATCGACGGACCGCGAGGGAAAGCTACGTGTACTAAGTTAGCCGCATCGACCGAGCCAAAAACGAAGGAGCAACAGGACGTGGAACACGGTGGACAGGAAACGGAGAACGCGGCGAGAGGAATAGAGAAGGGAATAACAGTGTTCGCGAGCGTGGACAGTAACCGCCTTAATTACCAGAACGTACGAGCACGATTTTCTGCATGACCAACAGCCCCTCTCTTTCTCTCTCTCTCTATCTATCTATATGTCTCTCTATCTCTGTCTGTGTCTGTTACGTGTGCGTGTGTGTTACGTCGAGCCGAAGGTAATCGCGAGCGCGATTCCACGCAGTACCGGCGTGTAAAGATCACGACTGAAACGGAACGACCCTCGTGCAAAACGACTCGACGTTGAACGTTATCGGTACGTTGACCGGTGCTGCGATCGTCGAGCAACGAGAGATTACTCGTCGAGCTACGAGAGTTGCCGAACAAACGTGCGTACGCGCGTGATCATCCCTCGTGGAGAGTCCAGTGAGCGAAGTCGACGAGAGCCGAGAGTGGTGCGCGTGAATTTGGACGCTCGTCGCTTTCACGGTTCCGTTGTCGCGTCGCGTACGCGAGAATTCACCGGCGTTCGCGAAACATCGCGCGGAACACGAGACGGAGGCAAACTTGCCGGGATAGGAAGTACACTTGTCTGGGTTGTTGTTGTTGGGTGCACGCGCGTGCCGGTGTCACGAGACGACTCGTCGCAGAGGAAAAGAGAGAACGCTATCGAGCACGTAAAGGGAGAGAAAAAAAAAAAACGCAATACGAGGGAAACAGAAAACAAAGGAACGGGAAAAGTGTGATATCGGACTGCCCGTTGCATTCGTAACTCCTGCCTTGAAATTTCGATTCGTGTAGCGCCATATCGCGACACGTATATATACGTATTGTATCCATCTTTGTCTCCCTCTTCCTCCTCCCTCTCTCTTTGTTTCTTTCTCTGTAATATTTACATATACATATATATATAAACAGATATATATACGAATACGTATTATATATATATATATACATACATACATACACACCCATATATACGTATAGACATATCTGTATACGGAGTATATATGCACGTATAAACACACACGCGTGTTTTTCGTACACACGCGTTGTACGGTGGTACAGGCGCACAGTGCGAAAGAAAATAGTAATATATCGGTGCGGAAAAGGGGGTTGTACGTCGTATACGCGAGTGTGCTTCTTCGATCCAACGTGTCTCGTTATATAGCTGCATCGTTTTCCTACGGATCTCCACGTCGCATCAAGTGCAGCTTGGCCAATTAAGCGAAACTCTCAGCGTTAAGCCAAACTACTAGAACATCTTCGAACATGTCGCTGCTCAGCGTCACGGGTGAGTCCTTCTTTACTTTTCTTGCGTGTTTCTTCGCGTTTACAGGACACCGGTTTCGATTAACGAAATTTGCTCATTAAGTTTTTACTAATCGTAGTCGGCGAACAAATACGCGTTTGCCGACCCAACCCAATTCCATCTAACCTCGACTTTATAAAATACTCGTGTTGCTTCTATTATATTATGTTAAAGAGTTCGTTCAGCGTCAAATCACACTTAGATTTTCTGTATTTCGTACGCAGCATTACGAGTACGATAAAAGTTTTATAGACGAATAAAGATTTTGTGGGTGATTTTATGTAGAAAATAGATTGTAAAAATGTAAAGGAGATTACGAGCAAATGTTTTATTTTAACAACAGCTATCTCGCGTAGAGATCTCTTGTTCCACGAATGCAAAGTATATTGTGCATCGTTCAAGCCGAAATTCTTCGCGATTCACGTAGGAAGCCGGTGTAGTTTCGTATTCGTATAAACATTGTCGTCAGTGGATAGGTTATTTCATTGTAGACCGAAATTTCGTGGTAGGGAGGGAAATAAAGTCGTAGAGCCGGGGGTGAAGTAAGGTTGGAACAGCGGCACAGGATGGCCGCCTCGAAACGACCCGAATATTTTACGGCGCTCTCGTCAGATTTAAAACTTTCTTTTCTTGGTTCTAAATAAACCGCTCGAGAGAAGCTAGTACTCTAAGCAAACTCGTCGAAACGAAGACATATTTGAGAGACGAAGCGGCGACAGAGAAAAAACGTCGAAAAACTTTTAGCGAAAATATTGAACCAGTTGGGAAGTTACATTGATCGATGAACGTTATCGGAGCCATTAATTACGTTAATAATTAAAGCTGTTTGTTGAAACGTTTCAACGCGAATTTTACTTTTACTGCCGTAATAATTAACGAACGAGTTGTGCTCGTTTTTTGTTCCCGAAATCCGGACCGACGGTTTCGAAATAATATTACTTTGAATTTTACATTTTTTTAAAAACATTTTTCGCACGAATCGGTTATATGCTCGATTATTTTGAACAAATGGAAAAACGCGGGATACACGGCAGCATTTTCTGAACGTCAACTAGAACGATTTTTTACGAGCAAACCGTTCACGTGGATAGAATACGAAATTAAAACATCCTATACAGTTTGGAATGGCTCTTCGTTTTTATTGTACGTATTTCTGTTTGATGTTTGCAACTTGTACAAATTATTCTCCAACTTTTTATTACGCACGTTCCCTTTCGCGCCGTGATATTTATAATGAGCAAAGTTCGAAAATTACGTACTTCGATATGAACGTTTCTACAAGATACATAGAATGTTCTTTTTATTGGAAAGCCATTCGAAGATGAGAATGGCAAAGGGTAGCGTTAAAAGTCGACGCGATAACTTCACTGATATTTCTGTAACGCGATTAGCAACCCTTTCTTGATCCAATTTTCGCATCAAGCTACGTTTCAAATTCGAGAAGCTCGAATTCCCTTCGTTTCTGTATTTCCTTTTCAAACGAATTTCAGTTTCCAATACTTATAAGTGGATTAAATTTGTGACGAAAGTATTCTGGATTTTCTTCCAATTCTTTGTATTCGACCTCACTTGAGAAGTTATTTCTAGGTCAGACCCGATCACTGACCATTGCCGATATCCCCTAAAATATATCTTATACATCCTCCGAGATTTTACATACATTCACCGGACTCTTATATAGGTACGCAAATGCTCTCATGTACCTATCATGTATCAAAGTGTGATCCTCTTCCCCAAATGCCTTCCATAGAAAAATCAATGTTCACCTTCCCTGGATGATGCTACGTCCATGCAAAAATCTTAAAAGTGGTCAAGCATTTCACGATTAATTTTCGCTGGTTTCAATGACGACATCGACCTAGATAAGTAGATTACGAATCGTGATGTAAAAAGTATTATTTCGAAAGTTTTGATTGTAGCGCTTATTTCGTGGTTAAGCCTCGTTGGAAACACTACAGCGTATCTTAAATTTGAAGAATTACACGCGAGAACGCGCGAGTACCCGTCGAGGTAAGTTTTCATAGCCTCAAAGGGCGACTGAGCACGAACGAGGCATGTCGTTATTCTTGTCACGGGTCGTTCTATAAAGCCACAAAGTTTCGTCGAAATCAGTGAGCAAAAGTTGGCGGCAGAGCTTACAAGGACCGTCCCGGGATGATCCAACAATTAAGCATGAAAGACGCGACAATTAACCACGGGACAGCGTGTTAACCGGCGAGTAAGAAGAAGCGATTCTCGATGCTTCTTTTATCTCTGCCCCATATCTGCTCATAAATGTCACTAGGCCCGGACTCTTCCTGTTCATCCAGGCACGTAGACGCACGTGTGCAGACCGCGTAGGTGTATTCAGGTGGTAGCGTTCCTCCGACAGTCGGGTATACAGCGATAACAAAGCGCATGAGTGTTCGTCTATGACTACGGGACAGCGAGAGAGGAGAAAGAGAAACGGGGAGGAAGAAGAGAAAGAAAGAGAGGGAAAGAGAGAGCATAGTGCAACGGTTGACCCCGGTATACGGGGTCATTCCCTTCTTCAACCACCACCACCGCCAACTACCCCACTGCCTCCGGTTCTGCCGCTCACCTAGCATCCCCTACTACTGCTCTTCCACCCCTTCTCATCCTCGTATCCTCCATCAACGCTACCATCACGACCACCCAACTCCACTCTCCTCTCGTTTGCCCGGCCAACGATGTACCTACGAGGTGCTACGGGAATGTAAACTCTGCTGCATACGTTGCTAGACACGGACAATCTTAGCCGATACAGCATCTCTGGATCCTCCTTTGCCTGTCAGTCTACCAGACAGCTAATAACTTGCGAAATATTTGCCTTCAGGTAACGATTCCTATATATTGGCTTGGCCTAAAGGTTACGTCGGTTTTGTCGCTGGATGACGTTTACTCGATTTATGTGTCAACGTGCTCTTCTTCGACGCATACGTGGACTCGACGTTTGCATTTTAGGATATCTTGAAAACACAGCGTGACGTTCCTCTGTTACGAACGGAGAAACTCTACAATCTGATCTTGACAATATACATCATTTTTACGAAGTTATAAATAAGTGTCTCTGTTGAAAATGTTTCTACAAATACGTGTTACTGTCAACGTGTTGAAATTATTGGACTGAACATTGTAATTACTTTTGCATCGATTCGATGTATATTAGATTATACTGCTTATCGAATGTATTACGAGATGCATTTTGCAATGATAATTCACTGCTGAAATAAAAGTGTGTGTACCAATACTTCTTTCGAGCGTATATCGGGAGCATCGATAGTTACAGAAGAAACGAATGCGATAAAATTTAATGGGCAATCATTCGTCGTAAATCGTTATGCATTATTTCTTGTTTTATGCTCCATGTTTATTTAAATTATCAGCGAACAATGGCTTTATCCGTTCCACGACCCACGAGTACCTTTCGAAAGGTCAAACAGACACGTGTTAAACAATGTCGCCGTCGTCTCTGTTCATAAAGAAGCACCCGATTGAAATAATGCCACGTAGCGTGTAGTATTTTGGTTCTTTCATGTTAACGATTCTGCGTGCCGTCAGGCCGAAATAAAGTTTGGCCGGCCTTTACAAGTGTAAAATAGATTGTCCTCGTTATTGTAGGCGATGCATCTCCATTAACGATGACACATTTCCACTACATGGTGAAAAACGCGGCGTTCAAATGCAACGTTGTTCCCTTTCTAAGTGCGACTTTGCAAAAAGTAGGTCTCTGGCGGAGATATTGTCGTTGAAAATATTATACGCAGTGAATGGAAAAAAAAGCTCAAGCGGAGGGATTTGCAAGCGCGAATCCTTTGAGTACGCAACAAAGAAGGGGAAAGAAAAATGAAGCATGAGAAGAAAAAGAAATAGAATAGATCGGGTAAACATTAGCCGGACCTTTTTTCTTCGCGCCTCTTTTTACATCCTTTTGCTGTTTATCATATCCGACAAATTGCCTGCACGCTCAGGTGTAGCCTTCCTTCGAATACAAACATACGGATAATCCCTATTACTTACCTTCGATTTTTATCCGATAAATTTTGCAAGTTTTCAAGTAGCCTTATTTGCAAGTTTATTCGAATCCTGAATTTCCTGAATTTGTCAAATTTCCAAATTTCAAAAATTTAAATTCTCAGGGTCCAAATTTTTAAATCAGAATATTCTATAATTTTTAATTCTTGAACTACCCAAATTTGAATATTTGCAGGTTCTGTGTGTACCTTGCCAAGTTCCTAAAATTCTAAATTTCTTAGTCGGGAAATCTACGAGTGAAAGACCAACGAACGATGCAGCATTTTCGCCAGTTTCGCTGCCATGATCCCCAGTGTACGCATTTCGAATAAATTATCGTCTTACGAGTTAATCTTTTCATTCGTACAACGTTGCAGCCGAAAGAAACTGTGTGCATGTTTATAAAAGGAACCGTGGAACATGCAGATATGTACGGAACAAGGTTCAAAGCAAATATTATAGTTCCTTTGATCGTAATACGCGTTCGTTGTTACGTAATCCCGTAGACGTGCTCAGGAACGGTGATGTTGGCACAATTATTGCGTAAACGCGATCGCGAACGAAAGCTCAAAGCGGTAAGAACCCGAGGTACACGGCACGCACTATCTTTTTATTTTTTTATTCTTTTCTCAACAAACGCGACGCTGTTCTGTGATCTCGTTCATTCCGTTTCTCACCCTCGAGATTCTCGACGCTGCCATTGTTACATCGTGCGAGTTCTTTGTCGCGAAAGCGGCAGGAATTCGCGCTTTCATGATCACGAATAAATTAACGGGACTCTAAAGCCACTGGCTGCCTAAGAAAATATAACTCGACCGTTCCATTTTCTTCACTTTCATTTTTATAATAACGCGAGAGGCACACGTAATCCGAAGTGTCGTGAAAGCATTCCTTTATTAGTCTCGTTTCACCTCGACGTATTTGGATTTCGAGGTGACCCGGATAACCTGCGTGACCCGCCGGATTCA